GGCTGCGATTGCACATTGCTGGCTCATGCTGAGCTTCTGGTCAGTCAGCACACCCAGGTCCTTCTCCTCAGGGCTGTTCTCCAGCCATTCCCTGCCGAGCCTGTATTTGTGCTTGGGATTGCCCCGACCCAGATGTAGGACCTTGCACTTGGCCTTGTTGAACTGCATGAGGTTGGCTTGGGCCCACCTCTCCAGCCTGTCCAGGTCCCTCTGGATGGCATCCCTCCCCTCCAGCATGTCTACCTCGCCAGACAGCTTGGTGTCATCAGCAAACTTGCTGAGGGTGCACTTGTCCACGTTACCAACAAAGATGTTGAACAGTACAGGTACCAGTACTGCACAATGATGCACAGAGATGCACAATGACATTACAAACAGACGTACTGCTCTCAGAAATTACCAGTTTGCACTGTTTGCTGTCATCTCTGTACCTGAACCATACTAATAATACGAGTGAGTCAAGCCCATTTCGGTGCGAAGTCGGGCAAGCTGGCCCAATGCCCTCCCCTAGAAGAGGGCACAAGCAGGGGACATTTTGCGGGTACAAGGCGATTTACAGCTCTAGTTACTATTCTTCAGCTGATGGACTAAGTAGGAGCTCCCAGTTTGCTTCAGCAGAAAATCAGCCTGTCGCCGCTGAAGTCAGATGAGCCACTGAAGCAGCCTGGGAGGGTTGGCAGAGCGCATGAACGTGGCTCAGCTGCAGAGGAGCAGCAGATGTGAGCCGGGCTGTGGTACCAAGCAGATGGAAAAATGGTATTGCCCCAAACCATCCCACTAGATCGGCGGCAGCAGCACATCTGCTTGTGCCCTGATGTACTCCCTTCTTCCTCCTCTCCACCCCTTGCAAAAAAAAAACCTTTTGGGCTGAATTTCCTGTTCCACTGAACCTTGAGCAGATGTTCATACCAATGGAGAGAAGGCATACGATACAACCTCGCCAGTGTGTTTGCTCACTGCAGGGAAATAAGAAAGAGCCCATGAAGTGTGGGGTGCTAGACTTCAGATCCTATCTGGCGCTCGTCCTCCCTTTGCCATTTTTCCACATCTGAACTTCATCCCTTATGTAGGCTGAAGGATAAGTATCTTGCTTCTTGTGTACGGGAAAACAAAGCAGATGGTCTCAGTCTGTGGGACAGGTGTCCGCATCAGAAAACTGTCACCATACTTGACACCTTCCCAGCCATACTGGCCAAGATCCTCCAGAAAAGAAAAAACATACCTTGCCGTTTTGCATACATTTACATTCATTTGCATGCATTTGGGCACATACTCAGCAGAAGCACATGCCTTCCCAGTTTTCAAGTTGCACTATAGCAAAACCTCAGAAGGAGTGGTGTGAAGATAACTTGTTAAGTGCTGACTGCTTGGTGCCTTTGATATGCAAATCACTAATAAAAAGGGCCCTTCCATGCCAGAGCCCTATTCTGTGCCTGCCTTTTGTCACAGGGATGAGTCTTAACAAGGAGGAACAGAGGAAGCAGCTCTGCCCCTACCCAGAAAGTCTGTAAAGGCAGTTGAAAACTCTTTTCTGCCAGATTTCCTAAGAAAAGACCAGTGACATTGTCAGAGTCCAAAAAAACATATTCCCGTATTTTATTTTTTTTTTTTTTTTCCCGGCAAGGGTTTTTCTCCCCCAACCTCAAACAAAAGGACCTACATCTCTATTTTTCCTCTAAGGGAGGCAGAAAGATTTCATTGGGATTGTGATGGCTGGAATGCCTGGGGAATCTGGGATGCGGGTAATCTGAATTAGGGGAGAAGTCATCGAAACACAGGAGGATAATGAAGTGCCTTAGCGCAAGGGCTGTTTCCCAACATGCATGCACATTGCTGTCTGAGTTCATAAGGAAATCATCCCACATGGAGCCTTATGTCTGATATCAGGGGGAAAAAAAAATGCAAGAGAAAAAACAAAACAAACCAAAACACAGCAGATTGCTCAATGCTGCCTGTAGGCCAGTTAGAAGGCGGGGGGGAGCCTGTTGGGGACAGCCTCCATGGGGGCAAGAAGAGCAGCCCCTCTCCCCGTCCTACCTGGGGAAGGTCCAGCCACGGGCCGAGGCACGGTACCCGCTCCCCGCCAAGGCCCCCGTAAAACACTCAGGTGGCAATTACAGCTGGCAGCACTGCAATCATGCAGACTCTTGCCCAAATAGGAAATGCCGTCTGTATTTTCCAGTGCTAATTAGGGCTGCCCTTGGCAGGAGGAGAGGGAAAAATGAGCATTTCCATGGGAACTTTTTTTGATCGCTTCATTTTAGGGTCATTGCATGAGTATCGGTTCTTCTCTTCTGCACTGCAGCCCCGACGGCGCGATGATGTCGCACCAGGGAAGAGGGGCTGTCTGAAGATGAATGGCAGGTAGGCGAGACGTCCTGCTCAGTGCTTAGGGTTTGTCACCCACAGCCTTTGCCCCATATCTCCATCCCTGCCAGAGCTTCAAAGCGACTTGGGGTTTGGCCAACCTGCTGTGCACAGTTGTGATGGATCCCAGCTGCGTGGAGCAGCGTAAAGGCTGCAGAGCCTTCCCCCCCCAAAAAAGAAATATCAACGCTTGCAGTGATTTTGAACCCCAAGGACCTTTGCCTACGAATCCTCTCAGCTTCCTTGCCACCTCCATAGCCTATCAACAAATCAACTCGTTTCTCTTTCACAGACTGTTATGTTTCCCATTTCTTCCTTTGGCACAAGGGAAAAACAGTCTCAGAGGCTTCCCAAGCTGAGCTGGAGACACGGCTGCTCCCATAGCTACAAGTGAGGAAAATGCTGCTTGTTTTCGTGTGCTACCTGAAGCACAACAGCCCATTACACAAAATCAGCAGCAAAGCTCCCCCCACTTTTGCAAAAAAATCCCCCAAAACTTATGTAACTCCGCAAGTAATCTTCACTAATCTTGAGCGAGGCATTTAAATCCGGGGAATAAGCCTATTCTTCTCGCCTTCCCCCCAGCCTATCTGTGCAGTGAGAAGGGAAACAAACAGAAGCAAAGTTCACAGCCTTGTGAATATTCCTTGCGACGAGAGCAAAGTGGCAACCTGTCCCAAGTCTGCTCCGAAGTAAACCCTCCTGCCCTGCCATTTCCCATGCACAGCAACCGAGGACCTTAAGAGAAAAGCTGCTTTTGGACTGATTATCACTTGCTCTTAGCTGAAGCATGGAAATCTCTACTCTCGCAACGTACCATTGCCTTGCTTTTGTCTGGTATTTTTTCGTCGCCTATTCGATCACGCATGTAAGAACAGAAGAGCGGCCATCTGAAGTGTTCCTTTACGGTGGGCAGTGGAAATATTTGACAGTCCTCAATCTGGTAAGCAAATCGTGTTGTACAGTGATACCAATATGTCTATTTGTTTGTCTGCCATCTGTGCCTCAAGACATATGCAGCTGGTATATTTGCTGCTGTTAAACTGCTTCCTTTAACGGTTTATGCCCCAAAGGGAACTAAGTAGGGATCCATGCTTGTGCTGTGAAATGCATTCTCAGGTTTTATGCAGAAAGAATATTGGCTGGCAAGCTGCTTGACTTTCAGAAAGTACTCTGAAGCTAGCTGCCTCTTTGTAAGAGACAAGCTATTACGGAGGAGAGGGACAGAAATGTAGAGGAGGGACAGAAATGTAGGGTATGTCCAGCCAGGACATGTGCAAGTTTGGTGTATGTTATCTAACCCCTGATTCAAGACACAGTATAATTCTGCTTGGAGTTTGGCTTCAGTTTTACGATAGCCTTTTATGTCTTGTAAATTACAGAAAAGGTAAAATAAAGCATAGCATGGTGCTAATTTCACCATTCAGAGTACAAGCTTAGAAAATCAGTCAAGGGCATGAGGGGAAGAAATTCCAGCCTGCGGAGAGAGATACTTGTGATAATATTATGTGTGTTTTAACAGTGCTATCAACTGCTTGCTGCATTTCCTAAAAATACGCAGAAAAACATAGACCGTAATGTGTTCTGTTTCTCCTAATATGCTAACTTTTCACAAGACAGATAGAAAACAAAATGAAAGCAAATTCAATACCCTTGGGGAGAAGGCTTGTTCACAGTCCAAGTGGTTCATCAGTGACTTGTGGCAGTGGTGGCAGTGGGGTGGAAAGACTGGGCATGTGGAGAGGGTTCCTACAAGGGACATACTTCTGGGACACTTGCTGATCTGAAGGATGACCACAGGGACCTCTGTAGTCTTCTGTCCATTCTGTGTGACCATCAGAGTTAAACAGCAGTGGGAGGTCTGGCCCAGGCTATGTTTATGTCTACTTTTACTCTTCAGGAGACACCCTGCGGTGGAGCTCAGCTGAAGTCTAAGGGCTCCCCATCTCCAACTGGGGCCTTTGGAGACACCTGGGGGGTTGGGAAATTTGGGTCTGTTCCAACCTGAACCATTCTGTGATTTTGTGAAATATTTGCAGCCAAGAGGCGGTGAATGGCACGTGAGGTGGCTACAACAACCTTGGCTTCAGGGAGCCACAGCGCCCTTCTCAGTGGCCAAGCCATTGTGGAAGGAGGAGAGCACATATATCGCTGCAGTCAGGATGGTGTATGCTATGTCATTTTCGTATCAGTAGACCTCGGCTTTTTGTGACGTTTTTAAAAATTATTTTTCCTGAAATGCCAACAATCAAATGGTCAGGGTTCAACAACCTTAAGGACATTTAGTTTGTCCTGCTGAGACATGTCAGTAGACTAAACCACCACCAGTCATGTCCCAGACAAGCTGCTCCCTGTGTGCCCAGCTCCTCTCCTTTGGGTTTTGGGTAAAGCTGGACCCATTAAAGCACCAACCATACCCTTAGGCAAAAAAGCATCTCCATCCTCTGGCACCATTAGAATGAGATCTATCACCCAGTATATGACACAGCTGCAAATCATGAGATCAAGAGGAGAAAGCAGGTAACCCATCTCCCAGTATTCTGGGATGCAGAAATACTCATTGAAATGATCATCCAGCTTCAAAGAATTTCCTTCATCTATCTGAAGGAAAAACATACGTGTTTATACTTCTGATGCCTTCCCTGTCCTGTGGCAACAAGTGCCACCACTCGAGTGTGCCTTGTGTGAAGGAGCAGTTCATTTTGTTGGTGTAAACCTGCTTCCTGACAACTGAATTGGATGCCCCTTTACTTTTCTGTTGTAATTTAATCATCCATCCCTGTACACTTTCTTTTTGCCACTCACTAGAGACTGCTACCCGGTTTTCCCTTTGGTGATGCTTTTCTGTGAGCTGGAAGTCCGAGCCTTTTTCATTTCTCTTCACAAAGGGCTGCTTCTTTCATTAAAACATCCTTGTCGCCCTTTGCAGTAGTTTTTCTAGTTTCAGGAAGGGGTAAGTAGGGCAGGCTGCAGTGGTCGAGCTATGAGCTCAGCATGGGTTTATACAGCGGCCTAAAGGTGTTTCCTTCTCTGTTGTTTATTTCTCAACAATTCTTAACTCTCTATTTGTCTTTTTGATTACTGGTGAGCAAGAAGCCGGCAATTTGAGAGAGCAATCCACAGCGAGTCCAACATCTCTTTCCTGGATAGTGATAGTTAATTTAGAACTCATTGTTGAAAAATATATAATTGAAGTTGCTTTTTTCTAAAATGCATTGCATTGCATTTACCAACACTGATTTTTGCCTGCTATTTGATCTTGAATGCATTCAGTATCCTGAGATTCTTTGGCAATTTTGCAGTCAGGCTTTGTTTTGACAGAAAAAGAGGGGGAAAAAAAAAAAAAAAAGATTTACAAAGCTTTACCACCTCAGTGTTCACTCTCTTCCCCAGCTCATTTACGAATCTGCTGAACAGCTCAGGTCTCATTAAATCTCTGTGAGTGAGAGCCCTTGCTCCACTTCTCCAGTCCTCTGTCTCCTATCTTTTAACCACTTATTGATTTGATCCTGACACTAAAACAGAGCTGTCAACCAACAGGGAGATGGTTTGGGCTGAAGATGCTGCCTTTCACACAGAAAACGTGGCAATGGGGCAGGGTGTGCAAAATGACTCCTTTGTGGCCAGTAGTCCTTATTCTGCAGAAATGTGGGGCTTTTTCAAGAAAGGGTTGCCAGAGAGTGAAAGGGGCCCTGGGGGAGAAATTCCCTCATCCCCCATTCTCCTGTTGATCTGGACAGCGTTTGAAGGTGTCTCTGAGTGCCAAAAGTTTCCTGAGCCGCTGTATATGGAAGGAAGAGGGTGAGAAGACAAGATGGTCCAAGAGGCCATGGAGCTCCCTGTGGGGGTCCACAGGACCTGGGAGAGTTGTCCCATGGTTTGGTAAACCCACTCCATGTTGCTGTTGAGGGACATCAAGGAACAAGAGGTGGCTGTCAACCACAGACGCCCATCAGGTACACACCCGATGCTTTACATTTCTGTGCTTTTGGAAATAGTGCCGGGAAACACCTTGGGATGCCGGGAGGTATGGTCCCGGGGAAGAACAGCAGGGAAAACCTTCCTGCTGGGCTGCACTGGTTCAGTGGAGCCATCGCGCCAGGGAGGGCTGGGATGTGCCTTGGAGGCTTCCCCAGAGCCAGGCAGGCAGGGCGCCTGTCCAGCTCTTCTGCCTATCTCCTGCCAGGCTGCGATTGCCTGACTTCTGACACCGGCTGGCCAAATCACTTGGAAATTTTCTACACCCATCCACCCCCCACACACTCCCCCGATTCCTCTCAGCTCTTTGGAATTGCATTTAAAAATTTCCTTCTGTGGAAAGCTGCTGTGGCTGTCTCACTCTGATTTGAAATGGAAATACTGGGAAATGTGACATTTTCCGGGGATGGAAATGCAGCCTGACTCCTCGTTCTGCTGGAGGGATGCTGGAGAATTTCTTCTAGATATGACCCTCTTTTAGCACCTCATTCAATTCCTCACAGTCATGCAGTTCTCCCAAGAGAGCTACAGCTCTGACGTTGCTTCAGATTCATTTATCTACTTAATGATCATAGCAATCAAGATTCAGAAAGGAAATATTTTTGTAAGGGAAAAAAAAAAAAAGATAAGTGGGGTTTGTATCAAAGGAGTTCATTGACCGATTATTGAACAAGCAGAAATTAAAAATAAAAACGGTTTTGTATTCATTTGTCTGTGACACAAACCAGTACAAGCTGAATCATTCTTTGCCTGAAATATCCGAGCTCATAAAAAACTGCTCAGTGCTGTAAATCTATTAGTAAATCATTGCATAAAGAGCACACTGCACCTTTAAAAACTATTAATTGCATTCCTGACCCATTTCATTCCTTACGCTTTTGTCTCTCATAATTGAAATACTTTTCAATTCTCCTGAAAGCTGGGGTTTTTTTTATTTATTTCAAAATAGACTCAGTATTTAGTATACATATTTTCCAGGTTGCTATCATGTGAATGGATGTGTGTCTACACTAAATGTTGACTGTTATGTCTAATAGCCTACTCGGAATATTGCATTTATCTCCCCTTAAGGGCAGAGCTTGGAGCCTGATTTATTTGTAATAGTTGGAGATTTCAATATACACATATGGCTAGATCTTATACGCGAAAGTAAATCATGTCGGGTTAGTTAAACAGAAACAGCCCTTTGATCACTGGAGTAGATAAAAATTAAGGTTTGTCTTTGTCATTATGACTCTCAGTTTGGAAAATCGATCTGGCCAAATTAAGCATTTCTACAGCACCTAGCGCCATGGAGCTCTGCGGGGTCTAGAGAGGAAAGCAGCATCCCTCCAACAGGGATAATCATCTCCATATTCTCCTCTTTGGGTTAATCATTAGCTTTCTGAATGCTTCCAGTCTTCCGCCTGTTCATGTGGGAATACTGTAGGAGATCCTCTTTATTTACAGCCAGCAGATTTATACACCATGAGTGGCTGCAATGGATTTGTGAGTGCCAGCACTGCTGTTTGGGAAATTCACAGGACATCTGGAATAATTTGTTGTTTTCATGTCGGCTTATTTATTTATTTTTAATGTCAACATTTTCCCATTAGTGAAGGGCTGTGAGATTTGGAAGCAGCTTTCTTACAGGAATAAGCCTGGAAGAGCACAGGTTCGGAGCTGTGACTGGAGTCTACCAGCAGTGCACCCTGCCAGACTGAGCATTACTGGGGATGGTTCCAGCTAGGTCCAGTTTTCTGGCTTGAAAATTACCTGTATATTCTTTCATTGCTCCTGAAAATACAGGATGATCACAAACTGCCCGAAACCCCTTTGAACCCACACCAGGGGACAAGGGTAGAGCTATGAGCAGCGCAAAACCAAGCTCCTGAGATGGAATTCAAACTCCTTCAGGAGTTGTTCTTCTCCATGTTCAGCCAGAGAAATGGGTCAGGTTACACATTCAGATAAGCATTTTCCATATGGAAGATAACATTGTCCTCCCCTGTGTATGACAGAATACCAGACTGGGAATGTGGCTGTTTTGGGACTGTTTCTTTTCAGAAATGTTTGTTTTAGTTAATTTTGAAAGGGGGAGGGGGGTGGGGAGAAGAAGCCTATCCCTGTCCCATGATTAATGTAAGGCTGACCATGAACAAGATAATAATAGCCCCATCCTCTGGGAACCAGGCCTCTCCCTAATTGCTTTATTGGCAATTAGTCACCATGTGTCACCAGACTGTCACCACCATCATGTTAATTTTTCATGCTTTTTTACAGAAAGTTACTGCTGACTCTACAGGGTGTAACAAGAGCTTCTGTTTATTACCCAGCTTTTCTTAGCTCCTTGAGGACTTGGTTTTGGTGTCCTGGCAAGGCCAGGGACTGGGACAGATGTTTTGGTTGAACACGTGCTTGGGTCTGAGTGTGCTGCGCCCCAGTATGGACTTTTTTGAACTAGACCCACCCCTGACTTGGAGGGCAGAATCCCTGCAGACTGAGATTGTGCTTGCAGTTACAGGGGCTAATTGTGATAATGGGGGGGGGGGGGAGAAAAACCACATTTAAAAGAGCTGGTTTGAGTGCCTCAGAATTGAGCAAAACCGTATGTGGGTACTGATGAAGCTGTTTGGTTTTTTTTATGTAAAAATGTGGCTCTTCACCCTGTGCTTTAGAGAGGAAACGGGGCTTTGCAGCTGAATGGTCTGGTGCAGGACCTCTGATACCTTGCCCTAGGCGACCCTGGGACCTGCAAACTTGCAAACTAAAGCTTGCAGAAACCCTTGTTTGAAGATGGGCACGGTGAAATCGTAGTCCCCTCCTTCCCTCAGGTATTTCAATAATAGAGGAATTTCTGATGAAAAAGCATTGCACTAATTCTGTCCCCTCCCAAGCACCACCCTTCTCAGCTCCTTCAGACACTGGTGAAGTAATCAGCCACAGCTTCAGACACTTCACTCTAAATAAATATCTGATTCAGAGTAAGATCATGGCAAAAGAGATCTCACCCTGAAAGCTGTAAAACGGCCTCTTTCCATTTCAGCATTGCTAGCGTGTCCAGCGTTCGCAGCAGGCTGTATTTCCCATATTGCATCGCTCTGGGACAACCTCAAAAAGAAGAGGCTACCCCATGAGTTAACACAGCTTGAACTAGACTCAGTGCTGAACACAAAGTAGCGGCAGAACTATTTTTCTGCTAGGTTTTGCCTTTGTGCATCTGACAAATCTGGTTCAGCGTGATCTGCCGTGTAGCATTAGGAGAGAAAATGGAGTAACCAGAAGAGCAATATTGGTTTAAACCACAATATTCTCACAATTTCATACGCCATTTGTGGAATTCTGTTTTGTCACTGTGCATTTATCTAACTCTTCTCCAAATCCTCCTAGCACCCTTCCCAAACAACCCCACCCTCATTACTAGTAAATGATTTAAAGAAAGAAAAAACCCACCAAAACAAAACACAATACCCCCCTCCCCCCTAACTCCAAAATTCATTAGTTATAAAGCGTTTAACTTACTCAGTTTTAGTTAGTGAAGTCTGGATCTCTGCTTCTAAGCACTTGAAATCCTTTCCTGAATCCCTCTGAGTTCAGCAAAAGAGGTTCGAGGTTCTGGTTTTGGTAACTGCTGTAACCAATTCTCATGTTAGAGCATTTTGAGGTACTTGACACTGAGATCAACTGCACCATGAGGCCCCCAAAAGCAGGCCCTGCATTGGCTAAATGGTGGGAGAAGCTATCTAGCAATTGCTTTATGGGAAACATTTCTTGGCATATTTTGTTCTCTCCTGCTCCTGCTCGGATCCATTGAACGCGACAATTAACACGTGAAGTGTGAAGGAGCTGGCTTTCAACATGGCCTTCCACCCCTCCTGTCTGAACCACATCACACATCTCTGTTTAGTCTATTAAACAAGATACTGTTAAACTTATCTCCCCAACAACTTTATTTAATCAGTTTCAGTTAGTAAAAAAGATTTAGCCAAGAGCTATTTCCCTCACGCGGGCTTGCAGCTCACGAGCAAAACAGCTCCCTGAAGAGCAGGAACAGAGTTCATTGAGGAACGTGCTAATTAAAGCTGGATGAGTTTCCCTCATTAGGTGTAATTACTTTAGGTTTTGCAGGCTGTCTTCTATGGGGTGTCCTTCCTGGCTGATGTGTTGAGACTAATTAAGAAACTGCGATGTGCTAAGTGCATAATTTCCAGCAGAGACCTTCTTTTCAGTGTCCTGGCTTTCCCAGTGTCCACAGTAAGTAACGTCTATATGTAAAAAATAATGTTTTCATAAATGATTAGGGGTGTATAGCATAACATGCACATGTATAAAATGGATAAGAGCTGCAGGCTTTCTTTTACCATTTGCAAATGAATTCGGACCATTTAGAAGAATAAACAGTGCTGAGCCTGTTATGGTTGAAAGCAAAACCTCTTGCACAAACTTTAGGGTTGCTGTCCCCGAGCGAACACAGATTGACCCCCATAGGGTGAATGAGGTGTAACCTCTCCGTTAATCTCACGGTCCAAATAGCTGTGGAATTATCGACTTAGAGCATTTCTCTAAAGGGCAGCACGGGCCAGGAGGACATGAGAGGGTACCTAAGAGGCAGCAAAATCTCACTTCTCCTTCTCTGACTCCAGCACGGCTTTAAATAATCGCTGGAGTGAAACAGATTCGCAGGACAATAATTATAGTCATAGCCAACATCAGATTCACCACGGATCACCTACTCCCTCACAGACAATGCTGTTTATCTCGTGCTGTGGGTTGGACGGGAACGGATGGGTTACTTATACATATAGGTACCACTCTGTGTGAACGAAGCCTCAGCCATCTCTGAATCTCAAAGGGCTCAGAAGTGCTGCTTAAATCTGGTCCACAAGCAGCTCAGCCAGCTGGCTCACTAAAAAAGTCCTGCCAGTGATGGAGACAGAGATTGGCTAATTTACCTTCCCCGCACAGCAGTATTCATGATGCTGCTGTCATATCCCCCCAGGCATCCTCGCTGTGCCCGCAGGACAGAGGTGCAGGTTAGCCTCATTCTTCCAGCATCTCACACCACAGGTACAAAGTGTGCTCAAATACAAAGCCAGGCCAAAAAAGTGCAAATCAGCGTCCAGATATCAGTAACCAATAGTAGGGTACATTTTTTATAGCTAAGTTCTCTCACCGTAAATCCACCTCTGTTGGGGAAAAAGCGGGTGCCCACAGTGCAGCTTGCACCTGCAGTTTATGGACTAGGCTTAGGGATTGTGAAGATAAGGGTAAATTTTAGGTGAACTGTCTTACCAAGATCTGTTTTTACTTTGTTACTGAATAGAACAAATGCTGTGGCTTGACAGTCAATCCCTCAAGAAGAACTTCTGGACCATCAAAAGATCCCATCTGCAAAGGGGGAAAAAAAAAAAAAGGAAGTTAAAAGCTAATCTAGTATTTCACAGAAAATGTCAGTGTTGGCAGTTTATAAAGAGGTTTTTCTTGCAGTATCAACACAGAACGCTGCACTTCAGAGTAAATTCCTTTCTTTATGCTGTAACATGCGAGATACATGAGTTTATCTGGCAATACCACCATTCTTCATGTAGGAGAAATTTTGCCTTCTCAGAAAGGAAAGCACTAGCCAAATCCTATCAATGATGCTTGTCTTTCATTTTGAAATTTCTTTCATTTTATATTTTGGTTCCAGTTTGTGTCTATATCCTTTTGGACACTGTATACCTACAATCGAGAGCTGGTTTACCCCAAAAGCCTTGATGGAGTCATCCCGCTCTGGTTAAATCACGCTATGGTGAGTAAGAAACACCCCTGCCCCTCGCAGAGGCAATGAGTGTCCCACCGTCGCATTGTGTCTCTTTCCACAAGAGTTTCACGGTTGCTTCTTTCTCAACCTCCTCCTTCCTCCTTAGCTGAATCTGATGTTGAGCTGTACACAGCAAACAGATGCGTGTGCTTGAAGTCGCCTCGAGAAGCCTTTTAGAGCACAAGGAATGTCAGCGAATCGGTGCTTGTCAAACCTCTGAAGTCAACGCAATGATGTGTAGTCATAGGGAAAAAAAACAATCTCTTCTCGGTTATTGTAGCTCAAAAAAGAAATTGTCTATGGAATACAAAATGGCTGGGAGTATAACAAAGCAGTTCTTAATTTTTTAAAAAGGTGAAAGAACCAAAGAACATCTGACAGCTCAACAGCTAATAAGCTAATGTGTGCACAGCTTTGAATAGCTGAATTGCAATGATTGTTTACAGATTTTCTATAAATACTTTCCAGATTTCTCCTTCATTTGCTCTGGCTGTTTTTATGATGTGTTGAATAATCACATATTTCTCATCAGTCAAGTGTAAGGAGGCTGACAGTAACATGGAAACCGTGGGTGGATTGTAAGGTCAGGGAGGCCTCGTGGGGCTAACGGGAAGGGGGAGAGAAGGGAGAGGTTCAGCACTAGACTGAATCAGAGAAGCCAGAAAGTATGAAATAATCACACAGAAGACTCATTTCTCTCCAGACTTCATTTCTTAAGTACAACCCTTTGCAACCCACTGCAGCAGTTCCCGGTGCGCGTTGCAGGTAAATGCAGGAGGCTTTGGGGTTTCTGGCTGAGGATGCTTGCTAAAGGTTTTGAGCAGCCACTTGATTTAGACAGGCGTCTTCAGATGCGTGTGCCTGGAATCCAAACACACATAGGCATGTCTGCATTACTGATACCCGAGTGAGAAACTGCAGCCATCCTGCACTTTTAACCTTATCACCTGCTCTCTGCCCACCAATCCAATTCCCAGGGGCCCTTACACGGCTGTCCAAATCTCTGCACAGATGCAAACGGGCACCACTCTTTCTCAAAGCCATCGCCCACTGAAAAGAGAGATTCCTTGGGTCCTCAGCATCATGCTGGTTTCAGGTCCGGGATTTGGTACGGGTGACCGGTTGAAGTTTAAAGTCTTGGTGGTAGTGGAGGTGCTGGGGAAGGGGAGGGCGCAGGGTGAAGCCGAGACGAGATGGGCTTTGCTGCTGGTTTTAATCCCAGTGCACAGCTGAGAATTTGCCCTTTCCATTTCCACATTTGTTTATGACGTGGGAAGGTTAAGAGGTACTAGAATGTACATTTTTATTTCATGTGCAAAAAATCTTTGCAGGAATCCCTCAGACGTATTCGTTATAACTTCTTTCTTACCCTACCTACATCTACATTTCATAACAGAGTCATTCTGACAACAACAAAAAGCTTTTCTACTTCAGAAATGTCAAAAACAGGTGTTAAAAAAGGAAAACAATTCTTCCTCAAAATTATTTTGACGAGAGAGAAACTTCGCATAAAGCAAACCGCTATCACAACCTAGTATTTTATTTCTAAAGCTCTTAATACACTGCAGACATCTTGTGTTTGACAGTTCCTGGGTGGGAAATTTTCCTTCCAGTCACTATCGCGTGTAAAACATCTGCCACCGCAGTAGACTGATCCCCGCTATTGACAAGCCCCACATTTTGGGACACCTTCCAACAGGTGCCTTCAGGCTTAGCTGAGGCATTTCTTTCTTCCAACCCAAAATATCCACTGGGAACACTGGGAAGATCCAGGGAGCTACCAACGCTTTAAGGGACAATCTCCAAGTTCTGATTGCCAAGCAGGCGCTCTTTCTTTGGGTTTGTTTCCTTGCACATTGCTATACTTTATGGCTCTGAGATTACAGCCATTTCACGGCAGATTGAGGCAGCATCTAGCTGGCTTTGGTGAAAAAAAGACATCGGTGTATCAGTAGTAGACGTCAGTGCCATATCATTTGCAGTGGGAGTATTTTTTTTTTTTTTTATCTCAGTCTATTTTAAAGTTGTAAATAGGGAAAGCATATGTTGTTATGTAACTGAAGAGTGAACCTAAAAAATAATCATGTGAAAGCACTTAAGGAATACCAAGCTCCTTGAGTTTGCAGTGATGCTGCAGCACTTCCCTTGCAAAAGTGAACTAGCCTTTTATTTTTCTCACATTTACTGCTCTTGCAGTGGGAGAGTGGTGCCCACCTGGTAGCCCAGAGTCGTACAGAGAGCATTACATTTTAGGCATGTTTTTGCACTCTGAGCCAAAACATTTTTTTGGTTTACAGAAAGGATGGCTAATGCAGAAAGGAATCCTGTTAATATTTGAAGGAGGCCAAATACTCGAGAATACCTGGGTTTCTCTCTTTGCCTTTCTACTGAATTTAACCCAAGGGCTGCTCCTCAGTTTCCACTTTTGTTTGTCTGGGATAATTGTGTTTTACCATCTTTATACAAAGCTTTGAGCTTCATGGATGAACAAACCCCACCCTACTTATGTCTTAAGCACAATTATTTTATTTGAACAAGATTTTCGAAGGAGAAGGTGGCTGAGACAAAAGATATGCTGGCCAATTCGTCAAGTGAAATTGTTTATTTCTTTCCCAGTCATCTCTTTTCAAGCAACATCTGGATACTCTCCAGAAGGCGACTAACTGCTGGAGACAGCTTGGATTAAATCATGTGCACGTATTATTCAACTTAATGGCAGTACAGGAGAACACTACATTTTGAAGGGTCTGACAGAATTGAATGCTAAACAAAGAGGGGCAATGGTGGGTCAGAAGAGATCACTCAAAAACATTTTAATCTATAACAAAAGAAAAGATACATATCAGCATTGACCAGATATGTTCAGAAAAATGGTAATGGTACAGTTGCCTTTTTGCAAAAGAGGTTTATATTTTCAGTCTGTAAGGCACAGTTCTTGTAAAACACAATTTTTCTTGCAAACAGCACAGTTTTCTTTATTTTCAGGCTGCAGCTCGGTTTAGTTTAGCTATCTCTTTTCCCAATTTATTCTGTAGCAACGCTACCCTCTCACTTTGACAAAAATCAGCATTTCAGTGTCCTCGGCACTTTATTGACGCATAGTTATGAACCATGCATGTTCTGGAGACCTTACAAGCTAAATAACTAAGAATAAAAAAGGAGGGATGGTAAATGGAGGCACAAAAGAAAAATTGCTTACCTCGCAGACTTTCAGCAAAAAATGACAACAGACCCCACATGGCCTGAGCCTCTCAAGCTCTTTTGCACTTTCTCCCAATGAAGAGTAGCTAAGGAGTATCTGAATGCAAAAGGAAAATACAGGGGACTGAAAGAACAGCCTGGGTGCATACGAGTCATTTTCCTCCACTGAAGCAACCCACCGTACCCTTAAGAATACCAGCAAGACTTGCCACGTCCCATCTCATCTTGGTGCTTCTTGGTATCTCCAAGCTGTTTGTGTTCTGCCTTCCTAGCTAAAGCGTTACCTTCCCTAGCGTGGACCAAACTACATCAGCAGAAATGTTATTTTGGATCAGTATGATTTGCTTTCACCTGGAAAAGAAAATAAGTTGTATGAATACAAATTACTCTTACTCCCATATGAGGGCATCTATGTGCAGGATTATATCTTCCTACAGCTATTTTAGGAAGCTGCTGCAATGCTAACCAAGCAAGGGGGTGCAAAATCAGAGTGTGGAGCAGAACCTGCTTGTCCAGGCCACTCTAACTGGGCTCCTGCTCCAGGTGTGTACACAAGAACCACCTCAAGTTCTTCTTTGACCATCTTAAACGATCCTCCTTGCAATTGGTATTTAATGCTTAATAATTTTTGCATATTTACACAAGAGAGAAACATTTCCATGTGTTTGCATTTCACAGTATCTCAATTTTAAGCTGTCTGGCAACTGTGGACATTCATAGTCTTCCAATTACATTCGGCTTTTGGCAAAGAAGAAGAATGTGTGTGTGAGGGATATGGCACATGAAATTAATCACCCCACACATTTAAGAGCAAAGATGCTTGGCTTTTCCCAGCACTACATATATACGGTTTTGAAGTTTCCATTTATGTTGACATAAGCCCATTTCCTTAGGGAGAAAGTATGTGTTTCACAGACAAATGTTATGGCAGGGAATCCTCCCGGGCTGCTGCTACCCCGACGCACACAGGTGCAGCCTCCGTAACCCACCCCGTGAAGGAACAGCTGGAGACAAATATTCCGCAGCGAAGGATGTGTCACTTCAGTCTCATGTCAGCTTCCAGCTGCAGCGCAACATCAGCTTCTTAGGCGAGGTATCTAATGTCAGGGAGAAATGCAATTAAAATTCTGGCATTGACATGGAGACAAAACATTTGCTCGTAAGCAATAGGATATTCAGCCAGGGCCTTATTTCCAAAAATGCACACGCACACGCTGGGAATGTTATCTCTGGAGCTCTTTTACCTTTTATCATATGATTGGTCTGACGTTTCATCCATTTTCACAATAATGCTCCCAAACTACCTACATATCTCAGCAAAAGCAGGAAAAAAAAGCAGGAAAAAAAAAAAAAGTTGCTTTTCAGATGAGTATGAACATAGCTGGGAAGGGCAGAAACAGATAGGAGCTGACAGTTCAGAGAGGAGTGCTGCTGGACTTAAATTGAGGAATGGTTTCCTGCCTAATTTGTCACCATGCCTGCTCAGTACCAGGACTCCCTGAACCTCCCGCTCGATCCATAAAATAAACCTGTCGTTCCCTGAAAATGGACTGATGGCTGAGAATATAAAAGACAGGTAGTAACTCAGAGAGGATTATTTCTTTAATGAAGTATTTTAATCAAGGCAATGTAATAGTTAAGGAAATAAAACAAATGATGATGCTTAAGCCCCTCCCACCCTAAAAAATAAAAAGACATTAAGAGAGAAGGGAAAATGTATAAGGACAGATTACAGAAGAAAATTCTAAAGGAGGCATTTGAATTAAGGCAGCATCATAGCAAAATAA